GACGAGACGAAACGAACGTAAAGACCCCCCCCCCCCCCCCTTACTGAAGGTTTTCACCCACTATATATAGTCATAGGATCTTTGCTATCTACTTGGTCTGACGCTCTTTCACACTATGTCTGCCTTGGTCGTCCCCTGAACGTTGTTTCTTCTGACTCGACGGGTATCGTGAGTGCAAGATATGGAATAGACCATGTCGTCTTTCGCTGCCTTGCCGCTTGGACGGGATGTTGGTTAGCTTGACCGCAGCGGTCAGATTTTGACCAATACAGTTAGTCCCTCCGTCTGTCCCGGTCGTCCCCTGTCGGGCAAGGCAGATGGATCATGATTGCTACAAATCCAGGAGAAATCTGACTACTTATATGCTCCTTAGGTTTTAAGTGAGATGACGACGCTCTTTCGATATCCTTGGACTGTTGCGGCTGTTTCGGAATCGAAACGTCATTTGGATTGAAACGTTATTTCGTGGCTGCCGCCATTATGACACACGTTCCTAGGGAATCGAAACGTTTCGTGCCCTATCAGATTCAATTGACGACTCTTGGATTTCGTGCTCGGGGGATTTATGTCTCTTATAAATAGAAAGAACACATCATTCGATTGACACACTTCCTTGCCCTTTGCTTGAAAGAATTTTGCGAATATACTTTCTTCCTGATACTCCAAATTTTCACTCGCCCCCAATTAACTGAAAACTTTCATCCTTCCCTTCCATTGTCTTTTTACTACACCAAATTGACACAATGGCTGGTGATTCTTCTCGCACTGACCTCCCTGTCACAATTCCGGCACCGAAAAATGTTGCTCTGGCCGCCGGAGGAGTAGAGGTGGTGGAAGATGAGGAGGTCCCGTCGGTAGTCGAGATCTTGCCTCGTCCTGGGAAAGAATGGACCGACTTCTGCAGTTGCATCGGGGAGGAGCCGGAACCTGTCCCCTCTGTTATAAAAGAGGAAGAAATCGCAGAGTTGAAATCTAGGTGTGGAATTCCCCGTTACGTTGACATGTGGCAGGCGGTAGGGGACGACATAGTCCATTTTGACCGCCCCGGGTACTACGTGTTCTACGCCTACCCCTTTCTTATTGGGTACACACTTCCTCTCCCTCTCCTGATATAAATTTGAATTCACAATTTTATAATAAACTTTTACAAGGAATTGCCTTACATAATAATTTTTTTTTAAAATTGAAATTAACTATTGGGCCCACTTAGGCCCACATAGGCACACATAGGCCCGTGATCGACCCACTTAGCACGGGACCATTAGTTCGTGGTCGCGATCCCGATCCGGTTCCTACCAAAAGCCCACGAAGCCCGGTCCCACTTAGGACCGGCCCACGAAGCCCGTTTTGGCCCGGGCCCGGCTCACATTACAGCCTTATCACCGATGGATCCCTTTATTTTGGGCTTCAATGATCTCCAGTTTAGCGCTTCGGAATCTTGTTTTCCTTTGATTTGCGACCTTCCTATAATAGCTTCGGTCAATCATTTATCAAGTCATATTTGATGGATTCTTCTTCCGGATCTCCGCTGCTTCTTCCTTTTTCATCTCTAATCATTGATAATTTTCCTTTTGCTTTGCTTCTAGAGATCCGGTTAATAGATTGTTTCCTTAATTCATACTTGAATGATAGGGCTTCTTGATTCCTTTATTTTATCCCTTGTGATCCTGCAACAAATGTGATATATTATTTTTCATCATTGAAACTCATTTTTAACATCAAGTGCTTATACTAAATATAATGATAGAAGTCACCCATTATCCAAAAGGATTTTCACGTGTTTGACCCATAAACAAGAAATCTTCACACACTAATAAAACCATTAAAGATATAATTAAGTAAGTAAAAATATGTTTTCTTTAATAGGATAAGCTTTTAGAAATATAAGTTCATCACACAATTTAACAAATCAGACTCCAATTAGTTACTAGACTCACCAAACCGATAATCAGAGTCAAACCGAGAAAAAAACCCGATTATAGTTTCGTTTGGTATTGGAAAAAAAAATCCGACTATAATTGGTTTGGTTTGGTTTTAACTAAAAAAAGTCGAAACTGAAACCAAACTAACCCGATATTACATATATAGAAATTATAAATATGTTTAATACATAAAAATATTTATTGTAGCGTAGTTTATAAATATTTCTTAAATTTTTTAAGAATTTTATCTTTTAACGCATTATTTCAAGCTTGGACTTACAATTTTTGAATGCTCCAATAAGTTTTGTAATCCAAAAGTGTTAGTAACTCAACCAAATCAACAACAACAACAACAACAACAACCCATATAATCCCGCTCAGTGGGGTCTGGGGAGGGTAGTATGTACGCAGACCTTACCCCTACCCTGGGGTAGAGAGGCTGTTTCCAAATAGACCCTCGGCATCCTTCCCTCCAAGAACTTCCCACCTTGCTCTTGGGGAGACTCGAACTCACAACCTCTTGGTTAGTAACTCAACCAAATCCCAAACCAAAATCCAATCAATATTAATACTTACAAAAGACATTCAATTCAATTGTACTAGGAATGACAATAGTGTTATATATATATATATATATATATATAAGCTTTCCATGGTTTATAGAAAATAACAACCTTTTTTTAGTGTTTACTCGTGTAAATAACACTACAAGAAAAAGGGTTATTAGGGACCAATATTTAGCGACGAGGCGAAGGGATTTAATCTAGTCTGAAAAAAAATATTTATCCGGCCTCTAAAAATCACATTTAGCGGGAGACTACGGAGGCGCGATAAAAAATAAACAAAAGTTTTAATTTTCACTTAGCGCTCCCAGACTTTTTTTCACTCTCTCTCACAAGTGAAAACTTTTTACTTAGACTATAGCTTCCCAAACGTTTCTTCCCTCCCTCTCTCTCTCAAAACTCCTGAAATTCCTAAACTCATAAAAAACTCATCGCTCAATATCAAGCATTGTCAGGCTAAACAATACCCTTATCAATCACTGGGCATTATTTGGCTACATCAAGAGTAAGTTTCTTCACTTTTATTGTTCTGTTTTGATTTTTTTTTCTGATGAAAATCAGAATTTTTTTTCCGTGTGTTTCTTTATTCTTTCTCTCTTTTTGACCTAAGGTTCTTTGATTGACTTTTCCCTTGTTTATAATGCTAATTTTTGTTGTGTGGGGCTAAAAGTGAGGATATTGGATTTGATTTTGATGCTTGGAAGGCAAGAACTGAGGTTCTACTATTGGGTTTTTTTTGCAATAATAATTATTATTGTGTGCTAAAAGTGAAGTATATGTGGATTTATTGTGGGGTTTTGTCTATTAGGGTTACATTAAACAGAACTTTTGGGAACTTGAAGGGCTAAGAAAAATGCCGTGGGTACATTGTGGGATTTTGTTTGTTATGAATTTTCTTATGTGGTGATGAATTGGTTGAAACTTTTACATATTATGTGTTCTAATTTAGTTCCTTCACTGAACTTAACGTTAGTAACAACAAGTTAGTAACAACTTACTTGGAATATGACCATCTGGTTAACATACCAAGTTAGTAACAACTTACTCGGAATATTAGTTCATTTTTTTAATAGATTGTGCATTTGCTGCTTTTCTACATGTTCCAGTTCTATTGCCGCATTCGACACCTTTCTAGTTGCTGTAATTTTTCTTGAATATCAAAGTCGACATGATCTGTGATGGATTCTTGGGACTTCTAATTTTCTGAACTTTAAAAGAGAAGTTTTTGTTACTTTCACTACAACTAGTCTGCACATAAGAAAATTCATCTAAATATCTAAATAGTGTTAAGAACTAGTCTACTGATTTTCAGGACAATTTTGGGATCTGTTTCTAAATATTTGTGGTGTGTACTGTGGGACATATGCAATAGTACCTGTGCTAATGAGAAGTGTAGTATAGATATTTGGATCATGGTTTAATTTGGATCTCAGTAGTGTTTCACTTAGTACTCGATTTGAAGACAATTGAGCTGCATACACTGATTTTTCTTCACTAAAATATTAATTTTGACCAGTTTATGTCCAGTTAGTTAATAATTAGGGACCAGAAAAGTAGTCTCTAAATCAATTAAGGACCAGATAATGATTGATTTAAGGTGTTATTTTTGTTTTACCATGGACCGGAAATCTGGTCCTCAAAAATCTTTAGAGACCAGAAATGAGCTGGTCGTTGGAACGCTTTAGGGACTAGTGTAAAAAATCCGTCGCTATTGATCCTTAGTGTCGAAGCCTACAATGACGGGGCGCGACCAGGTTCACCTAGTCGCTATTAATCTTGAGGGACCGGATTTTTATTTTTAAGGACCGTTTTTCTTGTCGCTAATAACCGTCTTCCTGTAGTGTAACAGTAGTACTTTTTAGTTATACTTATTTTAGCAACTTAGTAATTTTAGATTATATTTATTTTATTATTATGACTTATTGATTATTTATTTTATGCGATTTTATATTTTTTTTGTTGAATATCTTAGTGCAATGCCATGGCTTATCTCATATTTTATGTTATTTTCTTGAAAAATACCTTATATAGTTATGTATTACTAGGATAAAAGAAATATTTGGAGCAGAATTCTATGTTTTGTGCTATGAAGACTTTATGAAGAAAAAAAACCGAAAACCCGAAAAATCTGAGAAAAACCAAGATAAAAGAAACCCGACTTTTATTGGTTTCGTTTGGTCTTTAGATTTAATAAGCCAACACAATTGGTTTGGTTTGGTAATTGAAAAAATCGAACCAATCCGACCTATGTACACCCCTAGTTACCAGCACTCTCTTTACGATGAGACATTATATTTTTATTGCTTTTATTTACTGCTTTCTTTATATTCATGCTTCCTTACTTCCATATTAATCTTAAAAAGAAAAATCCGCCAAGGATGTGACCTTTTAAAATACTAGAATCTTTCGTCAAGTAATTTTAGGAACTTAGTGTCGATAAATGGCGTCCTCGATCAATTTAGTGATTTGGACCTTAGGAACAGACATACTACTAATTTAAACTATTCTGATCAACTCCTTAACTGATTCAGAATTTTTCAATACTGGAAAAATAATATAGGAGTACATTAATTTTGGAACATATACATGGAATCAAATGATTATACAAGAAGAGCGAAACCAAATATTACTACAAATTATAAAACAAATACTAGAACCACATTCTGGAACCAGTGATTCTTTTATTGTAAGAAAACATCAACCAACTAATAGTGAGTTCATGAATTCCTTTTTGCCAAATTCAAGTTTTCCTTTCACATAGAAGACACAGAGCTGGGATTGACCCTGCTACAAACATCACGAATTTCCAATTGAACGCCCTGTGAGGGAGGCAAGTTTCCCATCTTGATCATAGCAGCAGCAAAATCTCCAAGGAAAACAGCACCATTATTGCTGTAGGTTGTAACAATAGCAGCAGTGGTGGTATTCCCCGTCAACACTTGATCCGAGAAAAGTATACCCTGGTTCCTGTTTAAGTCCTGGAAGTAAACTCTGTCGAACACTGCAGGAGTTCTATCCAGTTGTTGCAAGTTGGTGTCGTTCTGGGGGACGGAGCAGTTGCATTGAAGACGTGCCGCTGGGTTAACGAAGTTGCTGTTGCATGCGGTGGCGCACCTGGTGAAACCCACCGTGTGGGCACCGGCTAGCGCCACCATTTCCCGGGCATTAAAGTTTTTGTCATTAAATTTTCTTAATTGGACGGTTAGATTGTCGAACGGAGCTGGAAGCTGAGTTAAAGCACCAGTGAAGTTGGCCGCTCTTGCATCTCTTCTCCCTAGTGCAACGTTATAGCCTTGTCCTCCTAGCTGTCAAATACACAACAGACAAAATAAAAATAGCGTAAAACATAATCCACACAAATATCTGACATGTTTAAAAACATAATTCCAAAAGTCTTTTTTTTGTAAAACTCCGTATCCAGTCAAACAAGTTTACATATAATGAAACGGGTGGAGTAATAATAACTGGTTACAAAAGTTACAATAAATTAATCTGCTATCACACATTCATTGACGTGCGAAAAATCCTTAATATTATCTGTGTATATAAGTAAAATCTTTAAGGTATATATTCTGATCATGTATATTTAATTGCTTGGCCTAGTAATTCAATTTTAGGTTTAACAATTAATCTACTTATTTTTGTTGCAAAATTAGTCCTGATTGCCATATTATTGATATACCTTACTGTTGGTGGAAGTCAACTCTTAATCTAATAACATAAAATTGTTTTTCGCTGTCTTGTGTAGCGAACAGAAACTCTATACCCCAAAACCATTGGGGTGGAATTTGGGTGGCGGTAAATAATCGTTAAAGTAAAAATTGGTACGTTAGAGATAGAAAATTAATGAACTTAGAAAATTAATGAACTTACTTTAACAACAGAATCCCGAGCAGCAATAGCTAAGATGTCTGCGCAAGATACAGGTGTGTTGGGACAAGTATCTTTTACTCTTTGTTTAGCTTGTTCTATGACTTCAAAACCTCTGGCTGAGTTGTTGTTGGGTGGTGAGGTTTTTTCCCCTTGGAATGATCCAGGAATATCGTCTAGAAGAACTCCTCCATCGCAACCCTGTTAATAAAGATGTAGCTATTAGTCAACCATAATCATCACTTCATGAGTAGAATATGTTTTAAATTTGTAAATGAACTAGGTTACGTGAACTTTAATCTTGCTTTATGGTTAATGAAAATGAAGTTTTATGGCTAGATAAACTGAATGAAAAGATGGAAGCTCGGTCATGATCGAGCATATATAGATAGATAGTCAGAATGAGAATAACGCGCAAATGACATTCAGGCACCTAGAAAGTGAAAAAGCATGGCAAAATTTTCTTAAGGGGTAAATAGGAAAAAGCTAGTCCCCTCATTATCCTTTATATATATGTCAATATACCTTATTAGTCGGTTCCTAAAAAGAATCACAATTTTTTAATTTTGATAACAATTTAATTTTAATCTTTTTATTTTATTGCTGACGAGATAATTTAGAGCTATACAAATATTTGAAGTTCGAGAAGTTTTTCTTTATTTTTAAAACTTTATTCAAGTTATGTCACATAGAAGTATACTTTTTATAGGAAAAAGCTACTTAAGTGACAGCCACCAACAAGAAGCAGAATAGACTTTTCCAACTGCTCCACTAGTTGTAATCCCCACCCCACCCCCCACTCCCCACCCCCCAACCCCCACAAAAAAAACAACAACTGAGATTTATCATTGTAGTCGTAATAGCAAACATTTCTCATAATGTAATACTAAATTGACAAGTACGTTTTTGATTGATTAAATACTAGCTAGGACAACTTTTTATCATAATGGAAATAAATTGTTTTGACCTTATTTAGGTGCATGCACTGTAGGTTAATTATGATTGTGGTAGGGGCCTAGGGGCAGAGTTACAATCAGATCATTTAGATAACCTTCCCCGTCTGCTCAAACGAAACTTTTGGCTTCGACAGTTGTGGAACTAACTCCTTATATCCAGTTAAAGCTTAAAGATTGATAAATTTCTGAAAACATTTGGAAAAAAACGGCCTTTTATTGATTCTTTTTCTTTTCTTTTTTGTTTTTTAAAGTAATTAAATACGGCAGAGAGAGTAAAGAATGCGAGAGCAGTAGAAAGAGTGAAGGAATTTACATCAACAAAGCAGTCATGGAAATGGAGACGAATGAGAGAAGCTCCCATGCGTCTTTCTCTATCAATTGCTCTGTTCACAACTCGTTGAACAGCCGAGAAGATGCATGCCGATGGAGATAATGGTTGAGTTAACTTGCTGTCTGAATTTTGCTCAGCATTATTATTTAGGGTTAAAATGCTGGCTGCTGACTCCAGCAGATCCAACTCTGGAGAAAGTGTTTGGAATCCCTTACTCATGGCTTCATAAGTGTTCTTATATATGGCAACACCTGCAAGTGCAAGAGCCATAAGGCTCAGGGCAAGGCTTAAATGACTCACACGAAAAGCCATGACCTAATTGAATGAAAGAAATTAAATGTATATGCAGGCAAAAGCTGTGGATGATTTTGCTTGTATATTTTCTATTTATAGGGAGTTAAGACTAACAAATGTACGCAACGATTAGTCATCCTTCGGCTTTAAATAATTGCGAAAACACAAACTGAAAATTGTTGTTTGGTGTGGAATTGACTTTCTTAATACTCCGTATTGTACAAGATTTTCTCCTTCCCTAGTTGTAGCTGTGTATTACGTGTGCTGCTTCCCTTCGCTATGTTTCTCCGATCTTTTTGTCTAAAATATTCTAATATCCTTTTATTCTAATCAGAATCACTACTAATATCCTTTTATTCGTTTTTTTCTCTTTTGGAGTAAAAAGTAAAAACGCTAGTTTACTTTTAATCGAGAATAAAGACGAAAATTCCAATTTCTTTATTTAGTACACCCTCGTTCTAATTTATGTGAACATGTTTGATTGGGTACGGAATTTAAGGAAAAAATAAAGATTTTTGGAATTTGTGGTCCTAAACAAGTCAAAAAGGGGGCCAGAGTATTTGTGTGGTTATAAAAGCTTCTCATTAAGGGTAGAATTGTAAGTTTAAACTAAATTGTTTCCAAATTTAGAAATGGTCATTCTTTTTGGAATGGACCAAATTAAAACGAAATAGGTTCACGTAAATTGGAACGGAAGTATTATGTGTTTGACCATATAGAATAATAAAGACATGAGTAAGCCAGTTTAGTTTGTATATATACGAGAGAGAAAAAATGCAATTGAAAAAAGCGCACCATAATTAAGGAATTAATTCTGAATCAATATTTAGTGAATAATATGATTGGAAACAATCTACTGTCACTTTTTTTCCGCAGACGTAGCAATGCACGCAATAGATATATGCTAAGTAATTGATTAATTTGGTTTGACATTGGTATATAAGCACGTCATACTATGAGAAGAAAAGTCGTTTAGATACAAGTTTCAACTTAGAAAATAAGAAAACCCGGCTCCTTTAGTTGAACAGATGTAATAATCAGTACATTAATTTCAGTCGGGATTTATGATATGATTTCACATGCATGACTTTAGGTTAATAACTATTAGAAAAAATTGGAAGCTAATAGCCGCCTGGAGCATTAGCTCTTTGCTTTAAGAAGTCTATGCCCCCTTCTCCAAACCTACTAGGAAAATTCTCCTCTAGAACGGTACTTTCAATTTTAATGTGATGTTTTCGGTATTAAATAAAGAGCCCGTTTGGATTGGCTTAAAAAAATGGCTTTTAAGTTAAGTGCTTAAAAGCACTTTATAAGTGCCGGAACTTGTTTTATAAATAAGTAGTTACATGTTTGGATAAAAGTGCTGAAACTTAAAAAAAGTTGTTGAAGTGTTTGGTAAACAAGTGCTAGCAAGTACTTTTTTCTGTTAAAAGACAGAAATAACCTTAATTATGAGTTAATTCAAATAAAAAATAATTTATATTTTAATTTAATTGATTATTTTTATTCAGTTTTAGGCTTGATTGGTGGCCAACCTCAAAACCTAAAAACTCAAATTCTTTAGAGAATCTAGCAGCAACTAGTGACGACGTTGTTGTCAAGTTCAAAGGATTTACTATGTTATGTTTTTTTTCTTTCTTTTTGCATATCTCTTTTAAAATTTACAGATCTTGCTCTTTCTTTTCCAAAGCTTTCTCTTTGTTTTTTGAGTTAACTTTGAGATTTAGAGTGAATTTTGGCATGAACAGTACTTACCAAAAATGCAGAAAAATGAAGATGAAACGGAGAGGAAGAGGAAAAGGAAAGAAGGTGGACTGCTGTGTTCTAAAGTGCAAAAAAGATAGAGAAATAGGAAGTTTTAGATTTTTATTTGACTGAGGTTAATTTGGGTATTACTAAAACTTATAATGGATAAGAAAGTAAAATCCTTGGTCAAAGTAATATGACTTTTAAGCCAATAAAAAAAAGTTGAGTTTCCCAACTTCTTGGTTTTGGCTTTTTTTAAGCTATTTTTTGGGTTGCCAAACGCCTCCATGAGTTAAAAGGGACAGGCTCAAACTCTTCAACCACTGTATTAAAATTAGTAGAATCAGTTGTAAATAGGAGTCCTCCTATGCGTAAATTGTTCCAATAAAGTTTGAACCTATTCGATCTTTAGTGTGGAGCTAAGTTTTATGTCCCTTTTATCATGTAATTATATTTATAGTAGTATTTAATATACAGAGTAGCGGTCCACGTCAAACTGTCCAATTCGTAGGCTAGTATAAGTGTATAACCCGGGTTTAGACTTAGAAGAAAAACCACCTTATTAGTATATCTTCTATCACCATTAATATAATACGTGTGCCAAAATAAATGCTTACACTCTGATTTTAGTAAAAGGATTTCATATAATTGAGATTGATATAGTACTAATATTGCTTCTACTTGCTTAAAAAATAACTTCCATAAATTTAAGAAGGTTATGAAATTATAAAAATTTTAGTTAATCAAAATAAAAATTTGGAACTTACTGAATACAAACTGTAACTAAAGAAAATGACATGATCATTCTTAGTGACTAATTAGTTAAATATTGTAACAAATTTTAAAAGAAAACTTAAAGAGCTACACTTGAAATTTGAAATTTTGAATATAACGAAAGCACAACATTTACTAATTTGGTTAAAAGTTTAGATAACTGTTGTAGCACAAATTAAAAAACTCAAAGCAAATTTTCTTATCATGCATAGAATCTTTATCTTCTTCCCTGCATTTTTACAAAAGGCAGCTGGCTCCTTTGCTATTAATGACTACTATGCGCCTGGGGGTAAATAATCAAGGATTAAAAAAGTTATTGGAGCTTTATGAGGTATGAAGGAAATGGTGGTATGATTAATTGAAAATCTCTATCTTTAGTCGGTGATTCAAGGCATGGAAATTAAATGAAAAATCTTTTAGTAAAGAGCAATTTATCCTCTTGGTTGAACTCCACCTAGTGAGAATTTTATATTAGTCGAATTGCTGAATTTTGAATATCGAATAAATTTGAAGAAAATTTATTGGAGTGACTATTTTTATCATATGAGGGTGTCTTAAGCGTGCTTATACTAGTCAAGTTTTTTTACGTTTTTTATCAAATTACCAATTTATTGACTAGAAGCTTGTACTAGTCAGTTGAATTTTAGCTACGTACATGACAGATACAATAAACCGTGGAACATGAACGAACTCACTCTCGGATCCTTGTGATTATTCTTTGTCGTTTTCTTTTTTTTCTTTTCACTTTTTGTGTTTGTCCTTTTTCTGTGATTTTTTCTTCCTTTTCACCTTTTTTTGGAAAGGAATGACAGTCAGATAAATGTGAAAAATTTGCAGCAATATGTCAAAGGGCCAAATCGTCCAAACAATTCTTTTGTCAAACAAGTCTTTGTTCAAGAATTTTAAATAAGCACATGGCCGGCCAGAGAGGGAGGCCACTAAGGCCTTTGTTTAGGCCCCAACTTTTGAGGGGCCCCGTTTTCTAATAATAATATATTTATATGGTATCTTCTTTAAGAAATAAATACTATAGTATGATATAAGAACTATAAAAAAAATTAAGAAAATAAGAAAGTAAACGTTTGGAATAGCGCTTAATATTTTTAAAAAAATTAGGTAATGACAATAGCTCATTTAGATCCTTACCTTCCTCTAAATATAAATTATTCCGGGAGAAATTTAAAAATAGCCAGATTTACAAGTGGTCATTCAAAAATAGTCACAGTTTCAAAAGTAATCGAAATTTAGCCACTTTTCTTGTAAAGATAAATCTGAACGAAAATACTGTTCAAAATCTAGAAAATACTCCAGTATAATATACTGGAGTTCCAGCATAAGTATACTGGAACTCCAGCATATTATAATGGAGTTCCAGCACAAGTATACTGGAACTCCAGCATATTATAATGGAGTTCCAGCTTAAGTATTCTGAAACTCCAGCATAATACACTAAAGTTCCACTATAATATATCGATCTAGTATAATATGCTGGAAGTTCATACACAGGTGCTCCATTCTCCAGCATATTATGCTGGAACTTTCCGCGTGTTGGAGTTCCAGCATAATATGCTGGAAGTTCATACACAGGTGCATACCTGATGCACCGATCTCCAGTATGTTATGTTGGACCGGTCCCTGTTGCAGCAAAATAATTGCTATTTCTCAATGACTTTGCAAACGCTGGCTATTTTTGAATGTCCGAAAACTGGCTAACCCGTGCTATTTTATCAATTATTCCGGGTCATTTACGTTTAAGGAAATGACCAAAATTGTGCTTCTCATTTTTCACTTCTTATAGGAAACCAGTACTTTTTTTTCTCCATTTGTCCAAGTACGCTATTATTCGGTAAAATACAAGACCTATAGGGCATTGCACATTTTTAGTTACATATTCTATTTTACTATTTCAAGCATTTGCAACATGCAAATTGACTTAGTAAAACTTTGTTTTTAATATAATTAATGTTATCAAAGTCAAGAATCAAGTTCAATTATTTTAATTTTATTCCATTGCCTCTTTTTCTAATCTACAAATTAATATTTTTATATTTACTTAATTAGTATAAATTATCTTTTATATTTTTCTTACCTTCGATCAATAATGTATCGAGAAATATTAAATGGATTGTGTGTATATCCTAGCCAGAAGTTGATATTACAGGCACCGTTTAATGACATGACAAAAATTTAAAAACATTAGTCTTACGGTACGCGCGTTGCGCGTGTAACCTATCTAAATGAGTATAAAATTTTTAAAAAATTATATAAATATTATTTTTAAATTAAAATAAATGTGTAAATTTATTTCAACAAAGAATATTAATTTTGTATAGCTAATTCAATGCGGAATATCAATTTATACCTTTCGCTCACTATGTTTTCTTTTAGCTATTTTAACTACTACCTTAAATTACTTATGAATAAATGTATATAATTTATTTTAATTAATTTCAATATATAAATTTATCTTATATATGTTTTACTTTTCGAGTATTGTAATTGGTTTTGTAATTTAATATGTGTATAAATTTACAATATGTATTTAACTAATTCAAATAATTAAATTAAA